ACTATAAATAAATAAATAATAATCAGTGATGAATAGACAGACTCAGTCGTTTTTTGTACTGATGAGATCTTGTTTCTACATGAAAAGATCACATAAAATGTTGCAAACAGAATCAAACAGAAGTGTTCTTAGGTAGCTGCAAAGAAAGAAAAGTGGCATTATCCGTACTGATAACTATGGAAGTCCATTTACGCCAATGTGACGGGAAAGAATTCTGTAAGTCATTTTAATAAGAAACTTTCTAAAAATGTTGAGAAAAATTCTCAATATTCTGACTTAGCATGATAAGATAATGATCATACTAAGTCATTATAAGTACTAAGTCACATTGGCGGAAATGGGCTTCCATAGCCAAAAGATATATTTCTCAACTCATGGAAAAATGTAAGAATGGCACTGAATGAAGAATGTAATTAGGCCATTACCCATTGATCATAGTCGTCAGCTGATTAACCTCACCTGGACACTTGCACTTGTCTTTTGTCTTGTCTTATGATTTGTGTTAAACTTAGTTTGATAAATTGTTCTTGTTTGCTGCTTGTCACATTCACAGAGCCAGTTTGTGACAAATGAGGGCTCGTCCAGGATCCAAACAACAAATTTCCCCCTTTAAACTTTACTCTTACTGTAATATTCAACCTCAGACCAGCACTGCTTTCCAAACACTAATCAGAGTGATGTAAATTATAAAATTAACAAAAGATCTGATCTGGAACATTGAATAATCAAACCAAAACAAATGTAATTTCTATCTGGCTCTAAACCATTAATATAAATTGACAGAGTTTTTTTTTTTTTACTGTCAGAGATACAAAGAAGAGACAGATCCTCAGTGATTACAGTCTCACCACAGGGAAAGGACGACACAGGAAGTCCTGGCTACCAACAAAGAAAAGAGCTTGTGACCACTGCACAACAGGTGAGGTGGAGATAGAGATGCACTTCCTCTTAAAAGTGAAAAATATCAGGTATCATCATATCAGATTGGAAAACTTAAATAAATTTGATTTTCTAATTCCTAACTTTAAAGAGTCCAGTGACCGTGGAACACAAAATATTATATTAGGAGAAGAACATATAACAAACATAGCTGCACAATATGTGCTTATACAGTTAATAAAAACACAATTACTGAATATGACAAATTTATATTTATATATATATATATATATATATGGAAAACGCACATGTGTTATTCTTTTTATTTATTTTATTTGACTAAATGAACAGTATTCTTTATGAATTGTATTTTTCTTTTTACCTTTTTATTAATTTAATATTTATTTTATTAATTATTTCCAACATTCATGCCACTGAAGCATACTGAACTGAAATTGAGGGTTATTTATGTAATGTGATCTGATACAATCCCTAATTACCTGTTAAAAATATAGTCCAGGAATGATACCAGAAATTTAGTAGTGGATACCAATACCAGTGAAATTCCACGATTGTTGATACCAACTCCATACCACAGTAAAACCGTCTTGTGCAGTCTTCGATATATTCTTCTTCCTATGGCATTTAACGGCTGACTAGAGTATTTGTAGGTGTAGAATTACCTCTTATTTATTTATTTATTCTGTAAATTTTATTTGGTACCTCATAAACCAGTGTATGCATTATAGTGCTGAAATAGTGCTGTGTTCATGTTTTTGGTGAACTGAACGTAACCTTATCCGTTTGCAACTGATGATCATAAAGATGAGCATTGTTAACTCTCTCATACATTGTTAAGTTAAACTACTAAAATAACAGAAAGAAGAACACGTTATTAATAAGGTAGTGCAATTCCAGACGAAACTTCAGTTTCAGTTTTCCTGATGACACCATCACTTTGACATCATCAGGTGTTACTTTCTCAGTCTGAACAAAGCACCCCCAGAGCCCCAGTAGACACTGTACAAGTGTTTTCACAGGCTGACGAGGACGCACCATGATGAGTAAACTGACCTTTATGTGTAAAATCGAGTTTGCCACTCTACACATTCAATTGGGAAATTCCAAACCACTGTTTACTATCTGCAAGCTCTTATGCTTGACAATGACGGAGCTCAAATTGTTGAGATGAGATCAGCTATAGATCGTTTATCAAGAGACAGACTTTTCACACTGTTTTTGAACAACAAAAAGAGTAGTGTGTCTTTGTGAAAGTGATTATTTTCAACGGCATAAATAGCACAGACAGCAGCAGCCATAGAGCCTATTATTAACCCAACAATTTTCAGGTTAGGCTAATTCCCATAGAAATACACATAAATAGACTCTTAAACTCTTGCAGCTTGTAAATTGATTATGTAAATTATCATTAAAAATCACTCTTTTTTTTTTTTTGTATTGTGTGTAATTAGTAAGGTTGTGACCCCTGCTGTGTTTTGTTAATGTAGTTAAAACTAAAGACTATTCATATTTTCTATAGGTTCTCTACATATTTGGAACTGGAGTACATGTAATTGTTGCCAGAACCTTAACACAAGAAAAAAAACATCTCACCTAAGCAATGGAAATTTGCACTCTTTTAAATCATGATTTTGATAATAAAAATGTGTCAGCAGCAGCCGTCTTTTTACCTGGCAAAATTTAATTTGCCAACTAAAACTGCAACTTAAAAGGTTTGTGTTATTTCAGAGAGGTTAATATGAGTGTGCCTTCACCAAATTAAGTGCCAAAATATTATAGAACTCTTGACTACAGATTCTCATCCCTGGTCTACACCGTTTTGTCATGCCCCTCTGGGTCTTATACAGAAGCACAAGGTACTCTTCAGCGTATGTATGAGACACCTTTTTAACACATGGTTAACGTTGTGAAACTGTCACAGTTTGGTCAGGTTAAGCCAACAAAACTATTTGGTTAGGTTGAGGAAAACATCAAGAACCTTATAACGTTATGAAACATAAACACTGGACTTTAAGACTGGAGACTGGGTTTTGTGTCCCATGTGAAACCAAAAGTTATTTAAAAAAAAAAGTGTTGTTTATGCCATCCATCTACCCCACCACCTCCAGATGAGGACTTTCTCGCTCTTTATACTAAGTCACCCAGTGACACTTTGGCTATTTGGAAACTGGGCAAATGCTAGGAGGGCCACCTGACTGTGGCCGCTCAGAATGGGTCATGGGTCTGTTCTGTGGAATACTTGAGTAGCCATTATACAAAAACTAGAGTGAGACAACTTGGCCATTTAGTTATATCTGGTGCCTTTTACTAAAATATGTTCATAAAGTCGATGCACTCGTCAGTGTCAGTTTCATGAACCTTTTCATTAAAAAAGGTTGACGGAGCATTAATAAATCTGAGAATAACCACCATTGTAGATCATTTTTTATTGATTGGATTGATAGGATTTAATAAAGAAAGACAACCAGAGGTGGGGAGGGGGACACTAAAGGGTACCTTGTGCTATATCTGATGTCTTTTCCTTAAACTATATGGAGATGCCAAACGTTGTGACATAATGTATATGTCACAATGCATAATGTCTGTATTTGACGCCCTGGGAATGAAAACGGACTGGCTCTGAGAAGGCAGGTGGTGGAACATGCACTCCAAGATTACAGAATGCTGCAGGATTTGCAACACCACACCCTCTGCTGTGAGAAAATTGTATCATTTTGGTTAATTAAGGAGAAAATATGATCCTCTTATATTTGCAAACAACAAACTAAAATATTAGCATAGCCTCAGCTAACAGCTAGCTATTTAGATGACTAGATAGATACAGTATGTATGTGTTTTTGTCTATGGGTGTGAGAGATTGCTGTTGCAGTGGTGCATGGTGAAATGCAAGGGAGGTCTGTGTGTATGTGAGAGAAAGGAAGAGAGAGAATGAACATAGAGGCAAATACGAGTATATTATGGGATGAAGCAGAACACTGCAACTGCATGGCTGCAGGCCAAGAGCTGCCTTTGATCCATTCGTTCAACTTAGGACACGCTCCCTTTTTTGTATGCTTTGCTTTTTCTGTTCACCTCTTCTTTGGGCACATCTTTTATTTTGCTACAACACACACCACACACACACACACACCATTAACCAAGCCTATAGAGCTTGTCAGAGCTCCTATCCACACAAACACGTTCTCCTCTACTCAATAATTCTCTAAATGTACAAAATATTAAATCTAAAAATATTTCATTTTAATAATTTTATTTGAAAAAATATTTTTTTCAACAGAGACAGTTTTTAT